ACGAGTCTGAGAGGGGCCACGCTGGCCTTTGGACCAGACGGGAACTCCTGCATAGGCCATGAGGTCTTTTACAGGGTTACGAGGATAAAGGGGGGCTCTGAAAGGAAAAGGTCAAAATGGGACCTTTGAGGGGGAGAGTGAGGGGAAAGGAGTCGTGCAGCTTGCTAGGGACAGGGCTTGTGAGCATAGCAGGGGTGCGGGCTGCCTGTCAGGAGCAGGGCTGAAGAATGATGGGCGTTATGGGGTGTGGCTGTGGTCACTGGGCCTTAGCAACCTGCTGGTGTCCATCGTTAGCAGGTGCAAAAGCACAGCCGATGGAAGAGGATTGAAGTGGTCCACCAAGGATGGTCGAGTCCTTCAAGTGCTAGCGCTAGAACCTCATTTAGACACACGAGAGAACGCTGAGCCTCTGAGACGAGGTCACTGAGAGTTCATCTAAGCTACTCTTTGGGCAGCCTGGAGAGGGGAAAAGAGTGGAGAGGAGACTGTCCCTATGCCTTGCTTTTGGACTAAGGCTGGCATCACAAAACCATCTCCTCCACTGCTTTTGGTCATTCCTTGGGTGCTCTGAGCCCCTAGTTTCTCTATATGAGACATCTTTCAGTATTCAGCTTTAAAGAATGGTCATTGTTAAAGTGTACCCTCCTGTTGTTCTTACACAGCAAATCTACCCAGGGAAGCATCTCAGTGTACCACGAGGCTGTGGTCCTCCTCCTGTCTGGAGCACCCTGCCCTCCTACACTGGTCCTGCTCCATCCTCCGCGTGGCCACTGACCCTCAGCACACTTGTCCTGTTCTCCTGTGTGTCAGTCATCTGTACACATGGCTTAGGTCTTTCCTGGCCTCTGAGATCCTTGAATCAACTCATCTCCGCATCTCCCCAGGCCATTGGAGCAACAAAAGTTTGTATGACAACAGCCACCATCCCTGGCGGGACAACAGTTATCCTTGATCCCAACACTAGTTTCATAATGAAGTTCTCTTGCTGAGGATCTTTTAATGATGAAATATATAGATATTTTTTAATTTACATAAACTTTTTTTTTGGTACCAGGGATGGAACTCGGGTACTTGCACTTGCAGAGCAGGCAGCAGAACCACTGAGCTAAATCCCCGGCCCAATGATGAAATATTTTTGAAAGTGATTGGAAGCATTTTCCGTCATTACATTGTTCAAAGAAGGTCCAGTTTTGTTTGTTTTTTTTTTTTTTTTGGCAATCTTGCAAAACCAAGTCAAAGCTAATCTGGACCATTTTGCAATCTCTTTGGGTGTTGATCTTTCAACAGTGTAGCTTTAACCTTCACGAAAGCCTTATACCCACACTGTGGAGGCCTCACAGGGCTGTGCTGAGCCAGGCCAGGGAGCTGATGGAGGAGTGCTCAGGAGACTTGTGTTACTCTCCCAGTGGCAGAGTTAGTGTAGCAACGACCTCCGTGAAAGCGTAAATGGAACTAGATAAACAGACTTTTTCAAGCCTCATTTGTGTGTTTTTACAAAATCTGATGTGTGAAATTAAATATGCTTCCCTGTTTTATGTATATTCTATGCTTGAGAAATTGTGTGAAGAACAACTGGCCCAGCAAGTTGGTTTCTATCACCTACAACACTGATTCAGATCCATAACACTGGAGGTGACTGTCTCAGGTGATTGCTTGGGTTGTTTCCCCCATGGAGAGGGCCCCTGAAATGTACCATATTCTCTGAGTGACGAGAGTTTTTTGGCTCAGGGAAATCTTTGTGAGCCTTAACTTTCTGAATATATTATCAAGTTGGAAGGCGTATGTAGGTACTGAAATTTCTGACAGAACTGAGCCCTTTAAGCCTCAAAAATAGTTTCCAAAAGTCACAACAACTGGATCAATCCTCATGATAAATTTCACCGTGCTGGTCTTAGAATAGAAATACTCCAGAATCGGATACACATACTAGCTCTTAAGCCCTACGGCTGAAATTCAAGATGTGATCAAATTCATCTTCATGAACCAACCAGGTTCAGATGGTTGATAGAATAAAAAATGCCCTGGAGTTGAGAAAAAAATCTGGGTTTTGTTCCCACTCTCCACTGCAGATCTGGCACTGGTTTCACCCCTCTGGGTCTTTGTTTGATCAGCTGTAAAACAAGTGGAAGCCGGATGGATTTGCCAAGCCTGTTCCTCAGACCATTGGCCTCAAACTCATACGGGGCTGAGGGGCTGCTTCTTCGGGCTCCTCACTAGACCCATGAAAGCATTTTGAGACAGTATTCAGATACCTGTTTTATATAACAACAAATTTTCTGCTCATTAAAGCTTCTTTCCTAAGCGTTTTTGAAGCAAAAAATATTCATTTAAGTTGTAAGGCTATAGGATTAGAGTATCCCTAAGATCTCTTCCAACTCCAAAGAATTCCACGTATCAGCCCACTCAGCACATTTCCACATGGGCCTATCTCCTAAGTACATGAGCTCGAACTCTGTTCTCTCTTGATTATAACTGTTCCAGGTCAGAGTGCACTGTGTACAAAGGTATCTCAGGGATGTGGAAAAAAGACTGTTTTTCAGAAGTGCAGCTTCTTTCAAAGGTTGGTTTGCATATTTCCTCATGGGTTCACCTGGACATGCAACTTTGGACCCTGTGTTGCTTTCTTTGCAGTGTACTGCTTTAGGTCCAAGTGCAGCAGCATGTGCAAACATGTCTCGGTGATTTAGGAAAACTAAAAAAGAATCTTAAAAATGTGTGGCCTTTCTCAAAGAACAGTTAAGTGCCGAAGAGTGCGTGAGGTCCTCTGGAAAGTCTGGCTCAAAGTAGAATGCAGGGATGTCACACTCTCCACATGAGGACACTTTAGGGGACAGGACTGTTGCCTGGATGGGGCAGTATAGTTTGCCAATTCCTAATCCAGATATCGGAAGCAATTCAAAATCCAAACTTTTTAAGTGTCAACATGATGCTACCAATGGAGAAGTCCACACCACAAAACCATGTTTCATGCACAAAATTATTAACTATATCGTATAAAATGATCTTTGGCCTATGTATAGAAGATGCATAAAAAATAAATACAATTTGTGGTTAGGCTTGGGTACCAATTCCCAATATCCCATAATTTCTGTCCAAATATGCCAAAATTGAAAAAATCTGAAACCCAACCAAAACACTTCTGGTTCTAAGCTTTTCAGATAAGGGATACTCAACCTGGCTCCAGCTGTACTTTACTACAGAAACTTTACTTCAAACTTTACTTCAGTCATTTAACTCTGAGCTTTTTTGTCAGTTGGACTCCAGGCCCTGGAAGTCACTTGAAGGTGATTACCTGTGCAATTATGAAGACATTAATGTTTCAGCACCTCCAGGAGCGGTACGAAGATTACTGCAACAACAACTTCCCAACTAAGGCAGCTGGTAGAATAATAGGCTCCAGGAGGTCTTCCAGTTACTAAGTAGTGCAGGTATTTTTTTCCCAGGCAACTAGAAATTGTTGGGAATTTTCACCAAAAGACCATGCCCCTCAAATAATTTGGCTGCTTCTAAAACCATTGTTTGCTTCCCAAGTTTTACATGAAGCCTACAATTTTCAGATTATTTATTTCATGCCACATGAAACAGAGGCATAAGCTTTCTGGTTTCTCACCCGAGAATCAACATTTCATCTTTCTGCAGCACCAGGCCAACGGCTTGTGTTGCCTCCGTCTTCCCAGCTATGAAATAAAGAGTAGACCAGAGGGTGCTGATCCTTCCCAGCCCTAAGACCTCACCTCGTGTGGAGGGGACAGCAGGTTTAGGAGAGAACATAGGCTTTGAAGATGGACAGAGCTCGTGTGGAATTCTGAGCCTCTGGGTGCTCAGTTGTACACAGGGATTAGGTAGGTAACGATGTGCATCTGGGCAATAAATCTGTACAGGGCTGGTCACACAAAGGCATTCCCAAGCTGGGGCTGCCTGGCTCCCTCTGCATGTCTCTTGCTCCACGTTTATTGATTGAGAGAAGTAACCCTGGATCCAGAGACAAGCTCTGGGGGAAGGGAAGGTGTCTAGTTCAGACACAAGGTGTCTGGGGGGGTGGGCACCATCAGCCCGGGGGGAACTGTTTCTTCCTGGCCCAGGACCCCTTGAGCATGACGTTATCATTTAGGGTCAGGCCGAAATGTAGCGGAAGGTAACAACACACGCACAGGTCCCTGTTTCTAGAGGTGCAAAGGGGGCTCACAAGGGCATCCTAGCGGACCCCCGAAGTCTCCTCCTTGGACCTGGGGGCGGACGCACCTGCTCTCCGCGGTGAGAAGCCAGGAATGCTAGCGGCACTGGGGAGTTGAGCGAAGTGCTGAAGGCTTTCTCCGCATAGAAGGGACACGGCTTTCCCAGCACCACGCGGCCCATCAGGCGGCGAGGTGCGGACTGTGTGTCTTTGGATGTTAGTCTGCACGTCAGTGCGCGTGTGAGGACCTGTGACAAGCGAGGACTTTGGAGACAGACAGCACTTCTACCCAGGGCATAGAGCTTCAGCTCTCAGGGCCTCAGGGGTCTCATCTATAAAGGACCCATGGAAACCCCACCTGCTAGGATTAAAAGCTACACTGCAAACACAGCCGGCCCTCCCTGGCCCTGCTTTCAGCCTCTGCTTATCCAACAAGCCTGGGTGGAAAACATTAGGAGAAAGAAAGGGCGACGGTGTTCACTGCATCCAGGCTATTTTTCTTGTCCTATTCCCCAAGCAATCAGCGTCACAGCCGTTTACATCGATGAGCTATCGCAAGTCATCGCCAGACGACTTAAGGTGCAGAGCAGGTAGGGTTCGCTCAGGGTGTGCTCAGCCGGGCCGTCTGCACGGCACCTGGGGGCGGCACATTCGCGTCCCTGAGGGGTCCCGCGCCTCATCCCCCCTCCTGCACGGAGCAAGGCCGGGGCTCAGCGCGGTGCCCGGCGCGGCTCCAACAGGCGACCCCAACCCGCTCACCGCGCTGCGGGACACGGTGCACCCCGTCCCAGTGGCAGCGCCGGTAGAGGGCAGGGGCCCGGCTCACCTGGGGAGGCCAGCAGAACCTTGGCCCCGCAGCACTGGAAGCAGTGCAGCAGGGACCTAGCGCGGATGTTGCAGTTGAGGCAGGCCATGGGGCAGCCCAGCTTGACCAGGCCCAGCCACAGCCACACGTAGGCCGGCTCGTTGCCCATGAAGACGGCCACGCAGTCGCCCTGGCGCAGGCCGAGGCCGTGCAGCGCCCGCGCCACCTGGCTGCTGCGCCGGTCTGCCTGAGCGCGGGTGAGCGCCTCGTCCCCACAGAGCAGCAGCGCCTTGTGCGGGGCGCGGCGCACGTGCTCCAGGAAGGCGCGCAGCACGGTGGGCACTGGGCGCCTCCGCCCGTAGCTACGCACCCGGCGCGACAGCCCGGCCAGGAGCACGAAGAAGCGCACGTCCTGGACCAGGTAGGGGCAGCACAACGTGACGAGTAGCGGCACGAGCAGCAGCCCGGCCAGGGCGGTGCAGACGGCGGCCAGCATGCGGGACGGGCGGCGGCGACCCGGGCGCACGGACGGCGAGCGGCGAGCGGCGAGCGGGTGGCACCGCGGGCGCGCCAGGTGCGGCTTTGCGGGGGGCGGGACGACGCCCACGGCCCGCCCCTGGCCTCACTGACTCGGCCTCCCGCCCCGCCCCGCCCCGCCCCGTCGGGGTCGGGCCGCCCACGCCTCTGCTCAGGCCGGAGGGGGCGGTCAGTGCAGACCCCTGCGTCTAGCTAGACCCAGACCCCTCGGCCCGGGGTCCCCACCAGCGCCGCCCCTTCGTCTGGAGCCTCGTGCGGTGCCCAGGCGCTGGGCTGCGGCTCCCAGTTGTCAGGTGGAGCCGCAAACGCAGACGCTGAGGTTGAGGATTTGCATCCCTGCCACGCTGCGGTTCCTGTCGCCGCTAAGCCTGGCTTGTGGCGGTGACTCCAGCAGCAGTGAAAGGCAGGGCAGTCGCAGCTTGTGGCGACTGTTTCCATCAAACAAAGACTTGTAACAGCAAGGTCGCCAAGAACTAGGAGCGAAGTGTGTTCAAAGCCAAGGGGAACCATGGGTGTGTGTGTGTGTGTTTTATTGTAATAATTAAAAAGAGCAAACATTCGTCTTAGCGTTTGAGGTTAACGCTCTTTATCAGTAGCCGGCCAGAGTCCCCCTCCCCTCCCTGTCCCCGGGGCCTCCCCACCCCTATGCTCTCAGATCTGCTCCGGCCTACTAGGTCTCTGCGGCGAAGCTTCCTCGGTGAACCCGGGCCCGGAAGGTGCCACCCGCTGCCTGAGCTCGCGCGAGGCCCGATTTTGCAAGAGGCGTTGCCAGGTCTGCGCGTGGAGCCAGCCCTGGTGCCGCGATCCGGCCTGTTGCAGATTCGCCCTCAGCCCCCAGAGGTGAGGGCCTCGTTCCTGTGCCTTGCTCGTTGCTCAATGGCCCGGCCAGAGAAGTGCGACCCGAGCTGGAGGAGATAAACTGTGATTGGCATCTCTCAGAAGCCCTTTCTTTCTTTAAGGTTGCGTTTGTTTTATTAAAAAAAATAAAACTTGCGTGAGTGCATGTCTATAGTGCGTGGTGATCAACATTCGTGGTGAGGAGCAGGTCGAGCACACAACATTCTTCTCTAATTCTTCCCGTTCCCCTTCCCTACACCCTCCTGGTCTCCAGATCCATTTACCGAAGACCCACCTCCCTGTTTCCTATTGCCTGTCTTTTCTGCATCTCTTTAGATTATTCACGCTTTGGGCTTCTCCTGTAAAAGAAGTGACGGGCACTTAAGCTTGTGAGTCTGGTTCATTTCTCTGCACATGGTGGTTTCGAGGGGCCCTTGCTGTCAGAGGGGTGTGGTCCTTTCTTTGACTTTCCCTTCTCAGTGCTTCGTACAAATACTACTCACCGCGGGGAGGCGGGGTCTAAGCCAAGCAGGTTTCACTGCGGCCTTCTCCTGCCCCGTGTCCTCGGTCCTCTTGTTCTTATACCCGTAATGCTCTGTGCTGGTTTGCAGACGGTGAAGCCAGGCTTGAGGGAAGGACGCGGCCGGCTGTCACGCAGGAGGTTTGGAGCTGGGGTCTGTTTCGTCCCAGGATCCAACCCGGAGCTCATTGCTAGCGACTGTCCCGGCACAGAGCCCTCAACTGCTGTCTTGCGGTGCCCTCCTGTGCTCTGGCTCTCTGCCCAGGTCTTCCCTTTTCTCCCACAATCAAGAACCTTGCACAGCCTCCCGCCTCCCATTCTTTTTGCCCGTATCCCGGGTGCTGCCTTTCCCTTCCCGTCCCTTTCTCCTTGCTGACTGGCAGCCAGCCTGGTGACTGCACCACGTCCCGGGGGTGGCAGGCAGTGGCATTAACCAGAGCCGAGGACAGGACAGAAACCAGTTAGCTGAGCACTCCTCTTTCGGGCTGGCCTCCTTCTCCTGCTCCTACCAGACCCCAGCCCTTCTTTCCTGGCTGCTTCTCAGCCAGCTTCCGGCCCTCTTCTCTTTTCCCCAAGCAGCTTCAGGCCCACTTTCTTCTTATTCTGAGGCCTGCTTTCATCCTGTACACTGACAGCATTGCTGTTGCCAGCGGAAGAGAACAAGTCCGAAACTGGCGGAAGCGGAAGCAGAACCCGGAAGTTAAGCAGGAAATGAAATCCTTCACATGAGCCTTAATGTGCGGTGCAAATGCTGAGGCCTGGACCTCGAGTCTCCTTCACTGTTTCTCCTCTCTTTTCTGTGCCCGGGTTGGGTGCCAACAGCCCTCAGGGGCCCGTGCTTCCTGGGTGAATTGCAGAGAGGAATACACGAATCTCTCCCTTAGGATTCTTCATAAAACACACACAGACACACACACACAGACACACAGACACACAGACACACAGACACACAGACACACACACACACACACACACACACACACAGACATCCTTGACTGGATTCCCTGTTCACCCTCTGCGAGATCTGGGGAAGAGAAATGCTGAGTGGCTTCCCACTTTACACCAATCAGAGCTCACCCACGACTGGGGGTACAGTCAGTTTCACCCGGACCATTTTGTGGGACATTGCAGGTATTAATAAAGAGTGAGGGAGAGAGGTTAGGAGAGAGGAATTGAGTTGGAGGAAGCACTAGCAGACATCTGTGATGTGTGCTATAGAAATCTTTACCCCTGACTTTAACTTTGAGTCTGGGGTCTGCCTTTTCCTTTACTACCCACTTAATAGTTTAAATCTGTGTCTATTTCTCTCAGAAAAGGCCAGGGTAGCTTATAAACCACAGAAACGTAGTTCTCATGGTTCTGGAGATCTCCTTTCTCATAGGTGGTGCCTTCTAGCTGCATCCTCACAGGCTGGAAGGGACAGAGGAGTTCTTACTGCCTACTCCATAAGGGCCCTGGTGCTGTCCTGAGGGCTCCACTCCTGAGACCTAATCGCCTCCCCACATCTCCCCTCTGCATGGACACTGGCGACCCTCTTGGTCTGCAACATGAAATTCATACTTCATTTTCTGGGTCTTCTGCAAACATACTAATTCAATTAAAATATTTATTGAGTTTCTGCTATGGGCAAAGTATTATCAGACAATAAACATTTAAAAATAGAGCCAAGTGTAATTCCAGTTGCTCCTTTTCAGGAATACCCTACTTTAGCAAGTCTAGTCCATGCACCCCTAAAAATGCCCCATGTGTTCCTCTTTCTACTGCTTCATTTTTGCCTCTTTGCACTACTCGAGTCTCTAAATTTCCTTCTTCCCTACCACTCTCCTTCTTTCTTCATTCTTTCCTTCCTTTCTTTTCTTCTTTTTGTTTTTCTGAGGCAGGGTCTCCCTGGCTTTGAACTCGCTATGTGGCCCATGTTGGCCTTGAACTCACAGCCATTGTCCTGCCTCAGCTTCCCGAGTGCTGGGATTACAGGCATGTGATACCAAGCCTGACTCTATTCCTCTAAATTTTAATGCTTTTAAGGCCATGGGTGTTTGACTTCTGGATTTCTCAATCCAGTAGCATTTCAAAATAAGGCTAGGGACTTTAAATAATATAGCAACTTTATATTTTTTCAAGTCACTCACCCCCTACTCTGAATATATATATTTTTATTGTTTTATAAAAGAATGTCTTTTTTTAATCACTAAAAAAGAAAAATAGGGTGGAGATGTAGCTCCGTAGTGCCTGTTTGCCTGGCAAGCTCATGATCATGAGTTCGATCCCTGATACAAAAAAAAAAAAGAAAGAAAGAAAGAAAGAAAAATATACCCACACCATATACTTAAAAACAGTAAATTTTGGGCTAGGGATTTAGCTCAGTGGCACCACGCCTGCCTTTCAAGTGCAAGGTCCTGAGTTCAATTCCTGGTACTAGAAAAAAAAAGAGGTAAATTTTACATGTATTTCACTACAATTTAAAAAATCCCCAAACTGTGGTTCTTTTCATGAAAGGATGCAAGTAACATTATATCAACATATACAAAAGATAGAGATTAGAATATTTTTGAATGTAGAAAAAACAACTTTTAGTTGGTTTACCATAGCATATAGAAATTGTTCCAATACAAGTTTGTCTATTCTTGTGTTAGTCATTTTCCAGTCACTGGGACAAACTACTGATGCCCCCAACTTACAGGGGGAGCTGTATCTTGGCCCTTGGTGTCAGAAGCTTCAGTTCATGTGTGGTTGGTTGTTTGGTGCCAAGGCAGGAACAGCGTGGCAGAAGCCATAGGGGAGGACAGCTGCTCAACCATGGCAGTCAGGGAGCAGAGAGAAGGGAAGAGCCGGGGACGAGAACACAGCCTTCCAGGCCTCCTCAGCCACACGACCCACCTCCTGACAGCACACTGACCAATGCACCCATCAGTGAGTTAACCTGGTGAGAAGGTTAGCATTCCGTGATCTGATCACCTTCCGAAAGTCCCACCTTTGAACATATGAGCCTCTTGGGGGGGATTTTTGATCTAAATCATAGCCATTCTGAAATATAAATTTAGCAGTGAAATATGAAGAAGAATCAAGTCTTGGGCTTGAATGCAAACTCAAGAGTTTGTCAGCACTGAGATTTCAAACATGGAGATTCTCCATCTCCATGCTCTTATTTATTTATTTTTATTTAGGTACTGGGGATCGAACTCAGGACCTTGCACTTGCTACCGACAGGTGCTACGTCACTGAGCTACATCCTCACCCCTCCATGCCTCCTAAGTCTCCCCTCCCATTCTCCCCCATCCACTGAGCCCATTCCCTTCCTTCACCAGGATTCTACTCCCTTCAGGACAGGCCGGCTACACCCACTTTGCTTAAAACTTTCCTCCAGGGTGCTAGACACCTCCCCTGCCCAGTCTCTGTGTCCTATTCCGACATGTCCGATGGATGTGAGCACAGAGACAGCTTCTAGCCTCAGTCAGGTCTCCCATTCTCCTTAGCCCCTCTCTGCTGTGTCTCAGACAAGGCCTCCCAAGGGCAACTTTCCCTTCAGAGCCCCAAGTCCCACTCAGATGTTCTTTCAATGCAGGCAGGCTCCCCTCCTGCTTCACCAAGACAAAATGGCCCATGGTTTCTTAACGTTTACAGGCTTCAGAGTCACCTGGAGA